ATATACAAATACCACTGTGTTACAACTGCCTACCATAGTCAATATAGTAATATGCCGCACAAGTTTGTAGCTTAGAAGCAACAGGCTATACCCTGGGCTACATTATCTTTGTTTAAGTATACTCTACATTTGCACAAAGACAAAATTGTCATATGATACATTTCTCAGGATGTATCCCCAATAACTGACATGACTGTTTATATATGACACATAGGAACCTACTAGAAAAACAGAAATGTGTATTTTCTAAAGGATATCATATATTTTTTATTGGAGTACATAATGTTTATACACACACACACACACACACACACACACACACAGAGCAAATCTAAAAAGCAAAAACTGACTGCTTGCTAACATAAAACTCCAAGGAAAAGAGTTGATTAATAGAAGGAATCCTTGCACAAACGTCCTAAAGGAACCTTTATATATGTGAGTTATGAAATATATACATATACACACACACACACATAAAAACATCACTCATGATGCAATAATTTAAATGTCGTATGATTAATACTTGAAACTTATAGTAATTTTTCTAAAAATATATGTCCTCTTTACTGTTTGCTAAAATTTGGATTGAGCAATATGTCAGGGATGATATGAAAATTTATTATTTTAGAGGCTGTAGGGAAAAAGAAATCCTCCTCATTGTTGGTGGGAATGTAAACTAGTACAACCACTATGGAAATCAGTATGGAGATGCTTCAAAAAAAGAAAACGAGAAATTCTATTTGATCTAGCTATTCTCCTTCTAGATATCTTTCCCAAAGAGTTAAAGATAACATATTACAGTGATACATACATACCCATGTTTATAGCAGCACAATTCCTAACAGCTAAATTTTGGAACTAGCCTGTATGTCCATCAACAGATGAATGGATAAAGAAAATGCAGTATTTACACACAATGGAGTACTACTCTCCCATAAAGAAAGATAAACTTAGGGCTGGGGATTTAGCTCAGTGGTGCTGCTGCCTGGCTCACAAGTGCAAGCTCTTGAGTTCAATCCCCAGTACCAAAAAAAAAAAAAAAGAAAGAAAGAAAGATAAATGAGTCATTTGCAGGAAAAAGGATGCACCTTGAGATACAATGTTAAGTTAAATAGACACACAAGCTTAAATATCTCATGGTTTCTAAATTATAAAATTTAAAAAATTGTTTAAAAAAGAACAAAACAACAGATAGATAAAAGGAAGTAGGAAGACAGATCTTTCTCAAAGGAGAAGCATATCAAGAAAGGGAGGAAATGGGATGAACAAAAAAATTAAGATGTGTTACATACATGTACCAACTCCACACAAAGAATGTAAACATCACATACTGCAAACAACACTCATACAAAAAAAAAATTTAAGGTAATACGCAAATTAACCCCCCAAATAATCCAAGTTTTAGTCACTCAGCGACTGGGGACATAGCTTAGTGGTTGAGTGCTTGTCTAGCCTGCATGAGGCCCCATTTGATCCCTGGCAACCCCCCAACAAAGTCAAACAATAAAAAGAACTAATCCACGAGAAGAATAGAAGCTATCAAAACAAAATTTAAAAACAACAACAACAAAATTATTTTATTCACACTGTGATTAACTTTTTATAACTTTATAAACTCAGTTCTGAATAGAAATAAAGGTGATTTTCCACTAGGGGAATAGAATTTAAATGGCATCAGTACAACTACACAAATGGAATGATTTCTCTTTGTTTCTGGTTGACTCAAGTCACTTGTCAAATTATTTAAAAATATTCTCTAGAGATATGCAGTATTTCTACAATGATCTAATAAAGACTCAAGCTTCTAGAGTATCTATTTTCAAAGAGACATGATTTAGCTGTTAGCTACTTCTTTCACAAACATTTTTTGGCTTAGTCCCAAGTGTGCTTTATACATTAAATGTGTGAGGTCCATCTGTAGAGTCATTCACATACACATGAATTCTACATTTTTTAAGTTAAGTTTACAATGAGGATTATCTAATACAAGTAAATATGCAAACACAAATAAATAAATTAAACTTGTAAAGAAGGAAAGGAAGAAGAGTTTCTGAAGGGAGGGGAGGGGAATGGGGAAGAAAAGAAGAATCAAGATGTATTATATACAGGTACAAATTCCTTATGATGAATGTGATCATTATATATATCAAAGTGTACCAATAAAATCAATTAAAAAAATAAACTTAGAACACAGATCCTAGCTTGGGCTCTAGAAAACAGAGTCAATTGTATATTAAACTTTATATATCTCTCACAAAACAAAAACATCTACCAGGGTTTTTTTGTCGTTGCTGTTCAGTCTCAATAGTTTCTCTAAAGTTAATGCAAGATGGCAATAAGATATCCTTCCACAGAACAATGGATCAAAATATGAGGACTTTCCTTAGGAAATTCTCATTACTCTTTCTTCACTCTTTTTCTTGAGGGTTCAACTACTATCAAAACAAACCTCCCTTGTGAGAGTAAAGTCAAAGCATACTTTGATTATATTCACCCTGTGTGCTATCCGTGGCCATGCCTGGTTTTCATAGCTATTGTAATTAGTATAATTTCAATAAGTAAAGAAAAAACCTGGAAGAATATGGTTTACATAAGAGCAAAGAGATTAAAATTATTTATTTTTCAAAGAGGCTGAATTTCTTAGCTAAATTATTATATAACAAGACATTCAAATGTGGTTTAGAGCTCAGTGTTATGCATCTTGCTTCGCAGGATCAGTTAGTGGAAGGGTATATGAAACAACATAAACAACATTCTTACTAAGGATACTGGACCACTTGATAAAATATATTTCTAAATTATATCCTTAAAACATAAATTGAGTATGTAGAAAACCATGCCAGGTTAAATATTCTATTAAAAAAAAAGAGGGATATATGTAGGCACAAATCAAGGGTCAGATTTCCTAGTACAAAGACATTCACTGGCTTAATAAAAAATCATGTTTCTAGTGAAGTAAAGACTAGCCAAAGACCACATCATTACTGAACGACTGAAAAACATTTTTAAATGAAGAAAGAAAAAGCCCATAACATGGGAGAAAATGTCTGCAAATCAACTATCTGATAAAGGACTTACATCCAAAATACATAAAGACAACCTAATTTTTAAAATGGGCAAAGGATTTAAATAGACATTTCTCAATAGAAGATATACAAATGGCCAATAAGCACATGAAAAATCCTCAGTATCATTAGTCATTAGGATAATGCAAATCAAAACCATAATATTTAACACACCCAATCATATAATTCTTTAAACATGGAAAATAACTTGGTTACAATGTGGAGAAACAGGAACCTTACACATTACTGGTTAGACGACTGTTAAATGGTAGAACTGCTTTGGAAAACAGTCTAACAGCTCCTCAAAAAATTAACCAGAGTTCCAATAGGACCCAGCAATTACACTCCTAAGTAGTTGCCAGAGCAAGATAAAAATACATACCCACACAAAAACTTGTGTATAAATGTTCATAGAAGCATTACAATAGACAAAAACTGAAACAACCCAATTGTCCATCAGATGATGAAACGAAAAATAATGAAAAATAAAATACAGTATATTCATAGATTAAAATACTATTTGGCAATAAAAAGGAAAGAAATGCTCTAACATGGGTTAACCTTGAAAAGATGCTAAATGCAAGAAAGTGGTCACAAAAGTTTACATAATATGACTCCATTTATACGAAATGTATAGAATAAATAAATCCATAGAGACAGAGAGCAGATAGATTAATGGCTGCCAGAGACTGGAGAGAGGGGAATAGTAACCACTAATGAGTGTGGGGTTTCTTTATAGTCAATTCTGTGACTATAACAAAAACCACTGATGTGTATACTTTAATAGTGGATTTTATGGTATGTGAATTATACCTCAATAAAGCTGTTATTTTAAAAAGAAAGAAAAATTAATACACAGAAGAGGATAATTTTAGATCAATATATGAATATTTTAAGTGTATATTTTATACACTATTTTATAGCCATACGCATCATGACTATGCTAGAAAAATCATAATTTGAAAGTTCTCTTTGGGGATCTTAAGGTTGATGCTGAATTGAAGTCACGTTTCTAAAATTCTAGGAAGTTTCAGGCAAAGGCACAGGTGCCTCAGGCTTCTAGGAAGCTTTCCCCACAATATGTGACTTTTTTTAGAAGAACTGAAACAAAAATATTTCTGCTTTCTCTGTTTTCTGCATGTCTGTTTATCCTTGTCCATGTTTCTACATCTGGCCTGTTAATCTGAATCACGAACCTAAAAGCATAGGACTCAAACCCCTTTTATATAACAATATACCAGATAAAATAAAGATTGAATGTTGGAATTAAAGACATTCAAATGTTAGAATTACAGGTGTGGATACTTGTTCAATTACTCCACCCTCTTCTCAACCTACTCCAGTCAGGATGGCATATTCCAAAAATGCCAGTTACTTAATTCTTTTAAATTTTGAGAGAAAAGATCAAATTCTTCCTTTAAAAATGTTTGTTGCTTAAAAAAAGAAAAACTTGTTCTGAACCAGCACATCTACTAAATGTAGCAATGTGAAGATAGTTCAGATAAATAAATATGGAAAAATTAGATCTACTGTCAGTATATGTCTTACCTAACATTATTTGTCTTCCAAGAGCAACTAAATATACCTTGCTTTGATGGGAAAGCATTTTAAAAAACAAACTTTCAGAAGTAACTTTACTACAAAAAATACTGCTTAAGGTCAGATATCTACCTTAAACCTAGTCATGCAGCACCAACAGCACAATCTTATATCTGTCCTCTCGGGCCTGAGGTCCATCAACTGAATGGATGGCCTTAACTCAGATGAATTTTCTTTATCACCCAGATGTAATATATTTCATTATTTCTATCTTTCTGAGATTGAAAAAAAGATGGAATCCTAGCAAACTAAATCAATGGTTTTAGAAGTGTTGACGGCGCAGAATTCTCCGATGTTATGTGGACGAGGGACTTGTGGTCACCTCACGTGCCATACCTGGTATGCACTGTGCTGTGGCTTCAGTTGTTATGGTTGGAGCGACTGGAGGCTGCTGCTGACTGGAGCTCACTTCTGGCTCTGTGTTCACTGAGGGAGAAAGGGATACCTCACAGGATGAGACCTGGCTGGGCAGATGGGATAGGAACTCTTCAGAAGCAACTTGCTCATCCTGTCCAGGCAGCTGCAGGGCAGACAAAGGAATACTGATCTGTTTGTTTGGATGAGATGTGCTCACAGGCATCTGCATGGCTGCCTGCTGGTTGGTGCCATGGGCACCAGGGGGTCCTCTGTTTGGTGAGGCCAGAGATACCCTAGCAGTCTTTGGGATGATTGGTCTGGAGATCACAGAAGGGGATGCAGACATACCATGTGGGTCTAGCTCCGTGCTGATAGCAGATGATACATGGGGAATCAGCTTAGCAGATCCTATACAAGAGGGACCAGCATGAGTCTGAGGCTTAGGTTTTGCCATCTGTGTCAAGGATAGGGCTGGTCCATCTACCCCTCCTGTGAGCTCTGCATTTGCTACAATGTAATAATCTTCTGGAATCTCCTGTTTGATTTTCTTGATGATGACATCATTGCTGCATTCATCAACCATCTGCACCTGGGAGCCTGAATGGAGGGAAGATGGGACTACTCCTGGCCTTTTGCGAGTGATGCTTTGAGGTCTTTGGGATTGGGGTTCAAAGTCACTATCCTCATCTGTAACAGAAGATTCACAAACCATGTCAAACAGGGTGTTTTCATCTTCATACTCTTCTACAGCTTCATCTAGTTCAGAGGGCTCGCTGCAGTAAGAGAAGTCACAAGAGTCTCTGGTCCGGTTACAGTCTAGCTTTGCTTTTACTGGTCTCCCAGGGTACCTTTCAACAGGGCTAGTCTGTGTCTCAGAAGGCACCCCAATTATACTGGGACTATCAGAATTAAAACTTCTGTTGTCTTGGAAACAGACCCTCTCTTGGGATCCAGCTCTGCAGGTAGCTGTTAGTGGCCAGTGGTAGGCATGGCCAGCACTACAGCCCCACATTGCAGTCAGGTTCCCATGGGAACCTTCAGACAGCAAGTGTTTCAGGTTTGGAATGAGGCTGCAAATGGTCCCATGGCTGTGGGCCCAGCTGACCAATTTGGACAGATTCTCAGATGAGGTATGAAGACAATCCTCCATGTTACAGGATCAGCAGTGTCTTTCCTAAAAAGAAATAATCAAAATAAGAAGCCATTATTATCCAAGATATTCTCATATCTCAATTACTTTAATTTCTTCCACCTATGACCATTAGGCATAAAAAGTACACTTCAAAACTATACCTAGTTAATATCACAGCATATGGTCAGAGACTAGAATGAAATAGAGGAAAGACTAAAAATCAACTTGTGACCTATGGTTATGGAATTTGGAGAAGATTTTTGTTAGTTTTGTTTAGTGTTACAGAAATGCCTGAGCAGGAAAAGATAAAAAAAAAAAAAGACAAGCAATTAAAAAGAGGTGAGACAAAGGCTCAGTCAGCCCCTCAATAATAAAATGTGCGTTGTATTAACCAAGAAGGTGCACTTCCAATGCCACTCTCTAGTAAACTTCATTACTAGAGGCAGAGCCAACAAAGGTGTAGATCCACTCTAGGACAGATGTTAGAGAAGGAAAAGTCAAACCTCAGCTGGGCAAGAAAATAAGACAAATGAGAGTCCAAGGAGAATAACAGTAGGCTTAGGAAGTAGTGAAGAAGCCTTTAGCAGTGAAGGAAGAACAAACTTGGAGGAGACAGGCTGTGGATCAGAAGCAAGGATGAAAAGACTGGGGTCAGGGCTCTAGCCACTCCTAGGAGTAGGCTTCTCACTCCTGGCTGTCTGAAATCCCTGAAATATTGTCTTTTACCCCACAATTAGAGGTAAAGGTGTCTAAAGTATTCCATCATCTCAGAGTCCCATAAACCCAAGAATAAGCAACTACCAAACAGGAATACATCATTCCTTACTGGGGAGGAGTAAGGATCACTTCTTATGAGTTCTTGGTTGGTAACAGTGAGGACAACATAATGGTTAGGAAAACTGAAAGGGGGTATGTGGAGTCTGTTAGTAGGATGGTTAACAAGACTCTGCTAAGAGCAAGCTACTGGGGAACTGGGCAGAGGCACAAGAATCTTTGTGTTTTAATCTGCCTTGATCATCAGCAGCTATGGGACAAGACGTGTTTTTGTGGAGGTGGGCTCTGCACTAAGGAACCAAGGTAAATGCAATGCTAGGTGGCTATGCCAAAATGCACATCTGAGACCACCCCCCACCCCACCCCCGCGCCATGGCTCTCCATCAGTGAGCTTAGTTAAGTTCAGATCCCCTAACATATTACTGAGTTCTCTCGGGTATAGCCACAGCTACCTCTCAAGCCTCACTTCCTACTATCAGAGCCTTCCATACTTCTGTGGGCCCTTGTTTCTAAACAGTTTCTCAACCCCACTGGGCCTCTAACACCTTTTTGGCTTGATATGTAGCCCTTCTCTTTTCTCACCTGGAAATCTCCTAGACGTCCTGCTGAAGTCTTTCTAAATCTACTTTCAGCCTCTAAGGATTACTTAGTTTTCCTTCACCCATGCCTCCATCATATTTAGATGAATTTACCTTTGCAGTGGTCTGATCACTGACTTTTTTTTTTTGGTACTGGGGATCAAACTCGGGTCCTTGCGGTTGCGAGGCAAGTGGCAGAACCACTGAGCTAAATCCCCAGCCCAATCACTGACTTTCTTATCTGTTTTCCAGACTTGAATAAGGACTCCCTGAGGACAAGGACTATGATTTAATCATTCATCAATGATGACTTACTTGAGGGCACAAAGTGAATAAGTCACGGTCCTGCTTTTGGAACACTGTAACCTGTCTGGCATATAGTTGATGCTAGATAAATGAATGAAGAATGAATGAATATATAAATACTACAAGCATTATTAATAGTAACAAAGCAAATGTATAGGACTCTCAAATAAGAAACATGAAACCTCCTCTAATTACTATTACTGTAATCATTCACACAATTAGAGGGGTTTCTCACTGATAATGTAATCAAAGAGCAGCTGTCTTGTGTATGCAGGGAGAGTATAAACAGAGTACTCATTATCCAAAATGCTTGGGACCAAAAGTATTTCAGATTTTGGAGACTTAAATTTTGGAATATCTGCATAGATCCTAGTGGCTGAGCATCTCTAATTCAAAATCTGGGAATTGAAAATGCTCCAAAATCCAAAACTTTCTGAATGTCATGTCAGCATCCAAAATTTTTCAGATTTTGGAGTACTGAGAATTTCAGATGTATGGCTTACAGATGCTCAACCTGTAATATGTGAGTGACCAGAGTTCATGAGGCAGCACAGTAAAATTGAAAGAATGAGGACTGGTGCAGGAATCAGGAAACTTCAAATTCTAGGCCCGTAACTTGAATCTGTGGCCTCAAACAAGTCGCTAGTTACAGTGGATCCTCAAGTTGTGACCAGCCTGACATACGAACAACTTGGGTTAAGAAGGTTAATGGAAGATTCATCTGCCTCTTGTTATCTAAAAGGTATACACAGGTAAACATCCAGATCTCAGCTGTATTGACTTACAACCAACTTGAGTTACAACCAGCTCTCAGGAACCAATCAAACTCGTATGCCAAAGGGTCCACTGTATCTCTAAGGCTGAGATGACAGGACCACATGATCTTACATTTCCTTCATACTCTAATAACTTAGAGACTTATTTTATGTCTTTGGTTAAAGCAGAAACATAGATAAAAGAGACTGGTTTGTGTGTTTGTGAAAGGCCAGTTTCACAAATTTCAAGAGAGCACCATTGGGGCTGCTTTTCTAACCCAAAGTGTGTGTCTTGATGACACAACAGTAAAGTTTGGAATACAGCTAGTCAAGAACGATACTATAGCCTAGCACTAATATACTAGAGAGGAGCACAAGCAGTCATATCACAAATGAGGGATCTTTTTGCAAGAGAAAAAAACTGGGCTACACTGTAATATACTTATCAGGAAACAAGGTTGACCTAGCAAATAAAAGAGTTGTAGATTCCCAGGAAACATAACCCTATGCAGACAATAACAGTCATGGAGACATTATCTAAAACATCAATGTATGCAAATGAAATACTCATGGCAATAGCTAAAAAGTTGCTAATGAATGAATCACAGAATCCAGGCTAAAGGAAGAAGAGTATAACCTTACTGAACATACTGTACTGGATGGACTCTAGTAAATTCTTGAGAGGCTTTGTGTGTCGAATTGTTTTCATTTTAATCACAGTAGCATAATTAACATAAATACATGAAGAATCATCTAAATAGTTACCTCGAAGTATTGCTGTGTAGTTTCAATTTCCTTCTGCCTTTTGGGGTGTGGGGTACTGGGGAATGAGCTCAGGGTCCCCACGCTCTGCTATATCTCAAGCCTTTTAAAATTTTTTTTATTTTGAGACAAGGTCTGTTTCATAAAGTCAATAAATTGCCAGGCTAGGCTCAAACTTTATGATCCTCCTGCCTCAGCCTCCCAGTGCTGGGATTACAGGGATACCACACCACACCACACCCAGCTCCCTTTGCCAGGATTCCTCTACTCACAATAGAATGCATAAGCACCTAAAGTGATATCACTCAACTTCTCATTTGTTGGGAAATCTGTTCATACTCAATTCTTTTTAGTAGATATAAATTTAAAATTTGTCATTCACACTAATTATTTTCAAACATTTGATGTTACAAAAGTGGAATTAAAGTGACCGATGGCTAGAACAACATACTACTTTGACAGTGGGTAAGGAGGAGTAGAAATAATAACATGTGCACAGAAAATCATACGAATTTTGGCACAACAGTTGAATGAAGATGTTGCAATTGTTCAAACAGGTAAAAATGTAGCAGAATCAAAACACAAAATTATAAATGACTACAGAATTTAAGAGAACCTATTTGCTGAGGTAAAAGTTACTATTCAATAGTAAATAGTTTTAGGTGGGGATTTAGCTCAGTGGTTTCGCCTGCTGCACAAGCGCAAGAACCCAAGTTTGATCCCCGGTACCAAAAAAAACCAAAAACCAAAAACCAAAAAACAAAACAAATAGTAAATAGTTTTGTTGGGAGGCCTCATTGCCAGAAAAGAATGTATAATTAAAATAAACAAAAGACAAAAGGATAAAATTACAGATTTCACTAAAGCTTGTCTACTTAATGCTATAATACTCACCACCCTTTAAGAATCAACAAGTACTGATAGTAATGATAAGTCAGTTTTGTCATGTTCTGAAATTCACCAGTATAAGAGGCTATTAAACTTTTTTTTGTGTACCATCAAATGAAAACATTTTTCCAGTATTAGTATTAAGATATTTTAACTTGGCCACTAATGATAACTGGTAGTTTATGAGAATATAATTGGCTTATACATAAGGTAATTACATGGATTGAGTCCAAGCTGACAAAGAATTGCTGTTAATATACCTCAATATAGTCTAAGTTTAATACAAAATAGAATTAATAGGCAAAGTATTTTGGAAATGCTGAGAATACTTCCCATTTTGTAATGATTTCCTTCAGCAGCCGGATGATAAACTCTACACTGAAAATACTGTTTTTTTCCCTAAATTTTCAATTGAAAAATGACTTCATGTGTTATTTTTCTGTATCTGATATTGACTATGATCAGGTTATACTCTCAGCTTTACAGAGTAACCAAGTGACATATCATTAAATACTGAAATTCCAGGAGTCTTGGCTGGCAGAATTTAAGTTTATGTATGAAATATGTTCTTAAATTTACAAACAAAGCTATAAAGTCATTAACACTCCACTGTATGTTCACTTAAGCAAAGAGATATTCTATGCATGCATTAGTATTTATATTATTAAAGTAAAAATCAGAAACACATTAAACCTAGAATCAAATGCTGTTCTACTACTGTTACAGGTTAGATCTAAAATGTCCCTTGGGCTAGGGATTTAGCTCAGTGGTTTTGTCGCCTGCTGCGCAAACACAAGGGCCTGAGTTTGATCCCCGGTACCCCCCCCCCAAAAAAGAAAAGAACTGACATCTTAAAATGACCCGCAATGGTCTTGTTCAGAGGCAGGTTTTTGGAAAGCCATTTGGTCATGTTAATTACAGTGTCATCAGTGGATTAACCCACTGATAAAATCATAATTTGATGGGATTATTGGGAGGT